TTTTTTAGCAAATCTCCACAATAGCACTCTCACACAGATGTATGTGATAAAACAACTAGTTCAGACTGCTTATTTGGATGAATTTATCTGTTGTCACCTTCTCCAGACTTGATGAGGGACTGAAAACTCTATAGAAGCTTTAAAGGGCTTAAGAACCTAGCTCTGGGCCTCATGTGAGACAACCCCATCTGTAGTTGATTCCAATGATAAAAGATTCTCAGGTCAGTTAATTTAATGCATAGAAGCCCCTTTCCCATGAGTATAAGGTTTGATAACAATATGGACTATATAGATTAGTAATCAGGGGGACTGAAAACGCACTAGAGTCCAGAGGTGTCCCTAGGAGATAGGCCATCGTGAGGTCCCCTTTATTTCCTAGGTCCGTCTCTGGGAAACCCATTGTGTCCTGCCTGAGCTAGGCTCTCCAAGGAGAGAGGATGCTTTGTGGTTGCTCCACTCTCTGTCTTTAACTCTGTAGATTTCTTGCCCCACCAGGGCTACACTTCTAAGATTACCAAATTCCTCAGAAGCATCCACTGCTCTGTTTTTTTACCTTTCCTGAGAGGCAAGCAGAGATCTGACTGATTCATCCCTGTGACACACTGTTCTCATCTCCAACCACACACAGTTTTTTCCCTGCCTTTCTTTTCATGTCTTTCTTAGTGTGTCTTTCTCTCCCATTATAAATCAAAATTTACAAGAACATTCATTTACCTCTACTTCCAGTATAAGTTATATATACATTTCACCTCAGCAAGAAGCAATATAGTAATTACATGTTCCAGCTCTAGGGCCATTTATCTGGGTTTAATCTTGGGTAGGCTACTTACTAGTTGTATAGCACAGAGAAGTTATTTAATGCCTCATGCCTCACTTTTCTCATCTGTGAAATGAACGTGATGTCAACCTTAAAGAGCTTAGTAAGAATCAAATGAATTAATACATGTAAAGTGCCCAGAACAGAGTTTGCACATGGTAGGCACTGAATAAATATCAGCTGCTATTATTAACACAGAACATTAATCATTATTTTATTATGAAACTAAATTAAAATCTCAGAGATGTATTCAAGATTTCATCATAGCCCCATTATAGTTGAGCCTCAGATCCCAAAATCTATCCCCAAACCACTTAATTTCCTACTTTTCCTTTTCATCACAGGTCAGAAAGTGGAGTATTATCACGGCACCTTTAAAATTTCAGACCTGCGAGTCAACAGTAACTCTGGACAAAACAGCCCATACCAGCTTAAGGACTTAAGGGAGATGAGCGAAAACTTGGTAAGTCAGATAAAATTCTTCCTATTACAAAATAATGCAGGTAAAGGGATTTTGTGCATCTTTTCCCTTACCATTTCCTAAAACACGACTTTCAGACACTTGCATCAGAATCATCTTGCAGAGTCCTAGGCCCCACTCCAGACCTCCTGAATCAGTGTCTGATGGGATGCGTAGGTGGTGATAGGGGAATAAGGGAATCCACATTCTAACAAATGACTGATTCTGATAAACCACTCTTTCTAACTCAGCCACCTTATCTAAAAGTGAGAGAACTGAAGCCAAGGCATCCCAGCCCACTGCTCCCCACTTCCACCACAATAGTACTCAAATGGAAAACTCAACCATACCAGAAGTGATTATTTCTAAAATCACATGCCTCTTTTTCAGTAGGGCCGTATCTTAAGATTTAAAATATGTTTAAAATATATGTGAAAGGAAACACGATCATCAATGTTCATTTTATCTCACAAACATACTAATTAAGATGAAAAACCCAGATCTGTTGTGTAATGCTCAAATGAATTGCTAATAATTTTGTTTAAACTAAAATACAGGAATGCCTCCCAAAAGAAAAAAGTAAACCCAATTGTATAGTAGTTCTGCTCAGGATGCCTGTGAACCCTCGCTCAGAAACAAAGGTCAGGTTAACTTCCTTGAAAAGGAAGCACAAAGCACAGATTTGACTGCAAATGCTATTTTCTAAGGTGCTCTGAATATAAAAGAATGGAGGATATATGTCAATTTATAAATGTTAATTATTGACTTGGGGGAATGAGACTGTAAGACAGAACAAATGTGCATAATTTAATGAGAATTAAAAATATAGATTATAAGCTGCATCTATGGTGTTGCCAGAAATATGTTGCAATGATTTCTCAAGGAATGCCAGAAAAAACTTTGACACATACTCCAGTACCTCTTTTATCCCTTTGATCCTGAGTGACTCCACATAAACTCCATAATATAAAAATAATAACAATAAATTAGTTAATCCATTTTAGCTGAAAAGTTACACAATTTCTTTAACAATGAGGAATATTTGTAATTTATCAGGAAAGTTTGAAATCTGTTTTCTTTATGTTTTACAGCCAACACTGTTGTTTAAGGCTAACTAAGAAATATTTTTACTGAAGTACATGGATGGACAGGAATGCAATAGGTCTTTTAAAAGAAAGAGAAAGAAATGCAGAGGTGAATCTATAACATTATATGTTTGGAGGTGGACTTTGAAGTTTCAGTAAAGTATACATTTCTAGGAGTGAAAGAACCTTAGGTGCAAAGGCTGAGTTAGGCATTGACACATTATCATCATGAGGACGTACAAGGCCCTTCTCTAGCTGTCATTACTTACTTCTTCTCCTTTATTCCCATAACCCACTATCATTCACCTCCCCCTGGCAGGCAACCATTCTGTATTTCACATGTATTCTTTTGTTTGTATTCAGTCTTGCAAAAACGTATTTTGTTGTTTGTGCACAGCACATGCTTTCAACTTATTCTTTGTGTTATAAATTACTTGTTTTAGTCAGTTTGGGCTGCTATAACAAAGTACCATAGTTTAAGTGGCTTACAAATAACAGAAATTTATTTCTCATAGTACTGGAGGCTGGAAGTCTGAAATCAGGCATCATCATGATCAGGTTCATGGCCCAATCACCTCCCAGAGGCCCTACTTCCTAATACCATCACATTGGGGGTTAGAATTTCAACATATGAATTTGGCAGGAAACAAATATTCAGTCTACTATTATCATTTTGCTTCACACTTTTTTACTCAGATCTGTTTTTTAAGCTCTAGCTATGTTGATAAATGTATATTTAATTAATTGCTATTCACTGCTACATGATGAGTTACAATGTCTATCCACCATATTTTACCTCCTGTCTATCATCTCAAGAAATGCTGCACTAAACAGCCTCCTACTTATCCCTGGAAGCAGAATTACTGGGTCATCGGTGTGCATACATTTAATTTGACTAATTGGTGCTGGACTGCTCTTCAAAATGGCTGAATCAGTGTGTACTCCCATCTGCAGTGCATGAGGATTCCTGTGTCCTCAGGTCTTTGTCAGCATTTGGTAATATCTGGCTTTCTAATTTCTGGCAACCTAATAGGCATTACGTTGTATCTTATTCATGATTTAATTTGCATTTTTCTATTGCGTATTTCAATTACTAATGAGTCTTTGCATCATTGGATATACTTGTTAGCCTTTTGGACTTTCATTTCTATAAACTGCCTGTACCCTTCCTTTGCCTTTTTTCTTATTAGACTTGTTTTATTAGCACTGCTTTGCAAGAATTTCCTATATTTTCGAGGTATGAATAGTTTGTTGGTAGTAGACATTGCACTTACCCATTCTATCACTTATTAATCTGGATCATATGCCCTTCATAAAATAACAATTCATAATTTTAAAGCAATCATTAATTTTCTTTGCTTTATGGCTGTGTTTTTAAAGCTTTTTTTAAAGAAGTTATTTCCTCTTTTTAAGTCATAAAATTATTTTCCTGTACTTCCATCCGTTAACTTTTTTATTGAAGTATAATCAGTTTACAATGCTGTATTAGCTTCTATTAACTTTATACTTTTTACCTTTTACACAAGGGTTTTAATGCATCTGAAGTTCACCTCTGAATATGACGTTAGGTAGAAACCCAAGTTTTATTCTCCATATAGTGAGCTAGTTTTCCCGATGTAACTAACTAAACAATCTGTCTTCCCAATATATGGTATGATTATCCAGCTCTTGACACTTCTTGGCACCTGACTCTTACAGTGAGGAGCCACGATCCCTCTCTTCAAACTGTTTCCCATCTCTTTGGAGAGATGAGAGTAACACACATGAAAATGAACAGCATGACATCATATAATTAAGGACTTAATTGTATGTTGAAAACAATAGTGAAGAAGAACTTCCAAGAAAAGGAAGATTAACTAGGGTTCATATGGCCTCAGGAAAGGTTGTGTGTATTTTAGCCCTGTTTAAATGGGACAGGTTTTCCTCTCCCTCCATTCTCCACCAATTTACCTTTACAAGAATTACAGGAGGAGTTCATACCTCATCCTGAACCACTCCTGTTTATTGTTGCTAAAACCCAATTAATAAAACCAGATTCTTCTCTCTGCCCTATGTGGGTGTTAATTAGACAGCCAAGAAGACAGGTTGTAGGTCCTGTTCTTCCTCATAATTTGGGATTTACTGATTTGAATGCAAATAGAGATGCAAAAGTAAAATGAGTTCATGCCCAAACACTGCTGAAATCCATTCCAGTTCATTGAGAAAGTAGCACAAACGTATCTCCCCTTTCATATCATTCTTCAGAGAAGACTCCAGTAACCAGACACCAGTAATTTATAATACTCCCAAATAGGTAGGTCATTATCATTATTATTATAAGTTTGAGTAGGATCACTGACTGAGGGAGTACTTCATTTAGAGAAATGTATTTCAGAAATATTTTTAAATTATATGATCATTACAAATATGAAAGTTATAAACTTGTTACACCATAACATTAGCAAAGTTAACTCAATAAGCACTCAATTAGCTTAGCACACTAAGCACCTTACCTGTATTATTTCAGTTAATCTTCAAAAACAACCTTATGAGTCAAGTACAATTACTATCACAATTCTATAGAGGAGAAAATCATGGTACAGAAAAATTAATTCACCTAAGATCACAGAGTAAACAATATAGTTAGGATTTGAGATTACATGTTCTTAATACATTTTTGCCATCCATAAGAATCATCTGTGTGAACTTAACTTCCCGTCTACCATCTCACAAAATATCAGAAATCAAATAATTATTTATTTCCTGATACATTATTCTCTTTCAGTTACAGTTGATCCTTGAACAACATGAGTTTAAACTGCATAGGCCCATGTAAAATACGGATTTCTTAAAAAATAAATGTGTGCTACAGTACTGTATGATTGGTGGTTGGCTGAATTTGTGGATGCAAAACCAGGGACATGGAGAACCAACTAAAAAGTGATAAGCAGATTTTCACTCCAATCCTCCATAGTGTTCAAGGGTCAACCGTATACTATTAACATGTACCAATGACCACCATCTGAATTAACAATGGCACCAGTTAGGAATTTTCTTAGGGTTATCTCCCAAGCAAAAAAAAAAAACTATTCTCCCTATGTCCAAGGCAGTTCAAAAGTTTATCTTCTTTGTACTCAGAAACACCAGACACAGGGCTTGAAATGATCCTCAAAATGTCCTTGGGACTTGTGTGTCTAGAATCGTAGACACAAAGAACTTGGGAATGGAAAGTGATGCAAGGAGATACTGTAGTTTAGGAATATTCTCTAAAGGAATTAGAAGACACTGATGACTTAGCTCTCTAAAGCAGGAAGGTCTTCTCCTGAGAAAAAGCAGCTGGGTCAAGATAAACTTAAACTTAACAAAGATATTAGACTGTCTATAGTTTGGAGTTGCATAAGATTAAGAGAAGTAAAAGAGACCCAATGCCTGGTGTAATGCTATGACCCTATGCCTGGAAAGGAGATGATATGTGAAAGCTTTGAGAAACAAATAAGCAGAGATTATCATTAGAATTTTGCATTCAGAGGTTAGAAAAATTGGTTGTAGAATGTGACTGAGTTCTTACTTGAGAGCTCAGACTTACATTCATCTTGTAATTGAAGATTAGCATGGCTAAAAGAGAAATATGTGCACCTTCAATCTGTTTAATTTGAATCCTGAAAGAAAAAGCTAATTGATGTATATTTCATGTCTAATCTGCAATATAACACTGCAGAAGGAGGCATTGTTATCCATACTTTATACATAAGGGAAATAAGCCTCTCAAGTTAAGATCCACAGCTAGCAAAGCATGGAAATTTGAAGTCAAATGAGTAACTCCAACATGTGTCTTTCCACTAAATTGTCCTACTTGTCAGGAAGAGACTCAGCTATGCTAGAAAGTTCATTTCTACATCAGTTCTTCTCCCATTTAATTTTTAAATCCATAAAGATCAC